TAGACAGTACATTATTACAGTGTATTATTAAAGTATAAGATATGATTTTATAATAGAAATAAATTGATATAATTAGAATTTATTTCAATTCATTTCTATTATATAATCATATCTTATAATAATACGCTAATAACGTACTGTCTAGAGTCTACTGCATATAACACCATAGAAACACTAATGATACCATAGAAAATAATATTGCATTTTAATTTCGTGTAGGCAGGAAATATAACTTAAATACTATATAAGTTTTTGAATTTCGTAAGGGGCTTCCTATAAATGCTTCTATAAAGGCTAACCCCTATTTAAAAATAAAGTAGCTAAGTTTAAGGATCTAGCATTGTGTGCTCAAGTGTGGGCCACACCTCCCACAAAGGTAGGTACTTATACTTTGAATGCTCCTTAAAATGTATGATTAATAAAAATATTTTTTGAGCTCGGACCATCGAGGGACAAACATAAATTGGGTGGTTATGATTTGCTTGAATAGTTAGCCAGTAACACAATTAAGATTGAAATTGATTAAACTTGGCGAATTAAATAAATTAGCTTGTTAAGTTTACGTTCAACCAAAGATGGCATCTTCATTTTGTCATTGAGATAACATAAGTTTTATGGACTGTACATACGATGAATATAAATTTATCTTTGTGCCATTGTATCACTGCATTGTGCCATTAAACATAATTTTGATAATTTTAGCAATAATTACAGATATGTGATTACAAAATAATAGTATAACATTATATACAAATAAATATAATATTATTTCAATGACAAAATGAGAATGTCACCGATATGTTAACGTAAATTTAGCAAGTGAATTTACTTGATTCGGCAAGTTTAGTAAATTAAAAATATTAATTATGTAACTGGCTAACTATTCTTGACAATAATTGTCGTCTTTGCCGCCACGTTCGATTTTGCCGCCCCGACTTTTCCGACCGAAACTAGGATTGACTTTTCTCCCCGACCCGCCCAGATTTTGCGCGCTACGATAAAGGGAGAGAGAGAGAGAGAGTTATATATCAAATTATTAAATATTAAATTATTATTAAATTTATACAAACATATTTAAATGTACTATAAATAAATCAGTTAATAATTTACTAATTATAATAATAATCACATTTTAATAGCTCTCTCTCCCATTCATGACCACAAAATTGGGAGAGAGGGAGAGCTAGTAAAATGTGATTACATTATAATTAGTAAATTATTAACTAATTTTACTTTAAACTACATTAATTACTTTGTAAAAAATTAATAATAATTTAATATATAATTAGCTCTCTCTCTCTCTCTCTTTGTCGCGGCCCCAAAATTGTGGCGAAAAAATCAAAACCCTCATCATATTATGTAAAGGATATAGTATTTTACAATAAAGTATCAATTAAAATATATTTATAAACAGTATGAGTTACTTAGAGTCGAAGCAACATATTTATTAACAAGTTTACCAGGTGGAGTGATTAATCACAAACTATTGTAAGTAGATTTATTATATTTTATTTTTGATTTTAACAAATATATTTTCAATTTATTATACGTATTTTAAATCTTTTACTATAACATCAGTTGTCAGAAAGTTCATTCGCACAAAAATGTATCGGTTTGTCACCACAGAATATTCAGTGCATTCATTCACTCACTGTTACCATAACAATTACAACACCATAAAGATCACAGATCTAACTAATTAACACAATCAATGATAGATATCCATGAGTGCTATTGTTTACTTACAGCTTTGTATTTACATATAAAAAAAATATTTTTGATTAATTATTAATTAATTAAATTGTTAAACTTATAATTTCAATCAAAAGCAGGATTGTTTACTTGTATTATATTATTTAAATGATCCAAAACTTACTTGCATTTATTCCACCATTTAGCATTCTGCCTTGAGGGTAAAATGGACAAACATCTACAATCGTTTATACCTGGTTACTCCATACAAAATATATATGAAATAGCACTTTCGATAATTATCATTATTATCATATATTTACTATTTGATATAATTAAAATGAGGAAAAATGAGGTAGATTAACAAGATAAATTATATAATATTAAGTTGATTTATAAATTTAGGCTAAATCTGCAAAACAAATAGTTCCACCAAAGGAAATAACCTTGTTCTTGTTGGGTGAGTCTGGTGTGGAAAAGTCCACATTCATCAACGCATTCGTTAATTATATGACATACGAGGCGTTGGATAAGGCCACCAAAGGAAGACTAACATGTCTTATACCTGGCCATTTTAAGTTAACTGATCCAGAATCAATAGAGATAAAAAATGTAAATTTCGGAAATTATGATCCCGATGAGAACACAACAGACAGCACACTATCGGGAACAAAACGTCCAAAATGTTATAAAATTCATAATAACCAATTCGTTCTCAATATTATCGATACGCCGGGTATTGGCGATACGGATGGTATTGATCGCGATAATAGAAATATGAGAAATATATTGGACTTTATCAGCAATTATCGAGAAATTAATGCCATTTGCGTTCTCCTTAAGCCGAATAACGCGAGGGTTGACGTGGTTTTCAAGTTTTGTTTGTATCAGTTGTTCAGTCACTTCAATAAGTCGGCCGCCGATAACATACTGTTCCTCTTTACAAACGCCCGTTCTACCCACTATGCACCGGGCAACACAGGACCGGCATTGAAATCATTATTAAATGCCCTTAAAGATAACCCGCCGAACATTGAAATTGAATTCATTAAAGAAAAAACATTTTGTTTGGACAACGAGTCGTTCAGATATTTGGCCGCCAAAATTGCGACAAATTTGAAATTTGACTCAATGAGCAAGGATAATTACAAAGCGAGTTGGATTAAGTAAATTAAATATCATTTGATTATATATCTTTAATTAATGATTTTAATTTTATTAGGCCGGCAAATGAATGCAAACGGTTAATTAAATATTTAAAAACCTTACGACCATATAATGTGCATGACACATTAGCACTAAAAGTAGCCAAACAGGATATTCTATTATTGACACAACCATTGGCTGACATAGTAAAAAAGATGCTGTGGACACGGCATACCTAAAGGCCTCGTTATCGAAACAATAAATAGTTTGCTTATTGTATTTAATGTCCACATTTGGTGGCCTTTCCTTAATAGTCTAACAATGAATTTAATGCGGGACCTGAATTACCAGGGGCGTACAGGGTGGCACGGGCATTTGTAAATAGAAATATTATGTTGTCGGCCGCAGTCTTATTCAAGTGACTGAACAACTGTAACAAACAATACTTGAAAACCACGTCAATCCTCGCGTTATTAGGCTTTAAAAGCGGGACTCTCCTAAAAGACCTAAAACCGAAAAGACCTAAACTCAAATAGCTAACTTACCAGTGGTCATTTGATTTCATTTAGGTTAGGGTAGGTTATGTGAGGTTAGGACAAATCTATTCCACTCATCAAATTTAAAATACGACCACTGGTCAGTTAGTTATTTTAGTTTAGGTCTTTTCGGTTTTAGGTCTTTTGGGGTAGAACCATTTTTATATTGTATCAATTAATTTCAATATTATAGCCTAGTGTGATATATTATATTATAAATTAAGTCAAACTATTAAATATGATATAAATGTACACTTATTAATTAATTATAATAAAATTTTCTATTTATAAAAACATAATTATCAATTGTATGTATATTTTAAAACTTTGAAAGAGCCTTAAAATTTAGTTTGATAAATATTTGTTTCTTTTATTTTGTGTACAGATATTTTAAATATTAATTGAAATTATTTTATTTATATATATTGTTGATGTTTATAACTAGAGCCAATATTGTATGGAGAAAATAAAATTTATTAAGATGACGGGTTCAATATAAAAGACCTAATTTAATCCCACTCTCTCACGTATCAGTGATAAACAACATATTTAAGCATTACTTTAGCAGATTACCTGTACAGGGATTAGTGCAAAAATTTAGATATACCTGGGCACACACTATTGAGTCCAAATCGCCTTAAATCAATGGATATTACCGCTATTTATAACTATAAATTAATAGTATTTATATTTTTATATAAAAAATTATACTGAATTATTTACTGAAAATTTATATTATACTTTTAATAATAACCGACATAATATTAATATTAACTTCGATCATTACAAAATAAATTTAATTTAATGTCATTACCTTATATACATTATGTATTAATGTATAAACCTTTTTAAAATTTCATAAGATTTCTGTATTTTATTATATATATATCCCCTTTATAAGATAAGATTTTATACTACTTGAATAAATCAATATTAGGTGTTTACGTGTTATAATACTCTTTACCGTTGTGTCGGACGTGACTCTAATATTGTATGCATTTCGTGCCTAAATGAAATCAATTCAATTCAACTAACTTTAGTTAACTGTGTTTATCGAGTACTTCAACCAATCTGTGTTTGAGGAGCACTTGAAAAATGAATTAATTTAAATAGAAAATGATTATTACCATGAAGGTTATGAAATTATGTTTCATTGTGTTGCAGGTAATAAGGATAATTGATAACCTATCCATGTTCTTCATTCTCGGTCTGAGGGATAAAAGCATTGTTAGCAAATCGGTGTTCATATTTTGTCATCTCTGAAAAGTTTCCTTATAGTTAAAAACTAAGAATTAAGGAGGTATTGGTTCTATTCTTGTAAATACCAATTTCTCATAGAATAACAAGCCAACCAATATAACATTCTATTAAACTTATTCCACTATGACAACCTACGAGTTTTCAAATTTTCCTAAAGCAACAGTGGCTTTTGGGAACCATTTTCGCAGCACGGATTACGAAAAATTACAAGAACATTTAGCAGTATTAAAAAGGCTCGCTATTGGTACTTCACAAACACTGGAGTATGGACGAAAATATGCCCCAAAACTTACAAATGCTGCCCAAATTGCCGGAAAATTTGCCTCTGTTATGACTGTACTTGTAATGCTTGTTGGCGAAGTTGACATGCTTTACAAGGAATTAAAGGAACTAGAGCAAAAGATTTTCAACACCATTCTCGAGGGAAAATTACGAGCGCTGAATCGCATCATGAAGGACCTTCAAGATGATAAAACCCTCGAGGTTCAAAAAGTAGCAGCAATTGGCGATGCTATTTCCCAATTCGATGAGATTTTGCCAGTGTTTGCCAAAGAAAACACAATCTTTCGCGAACGTTTTTATCATGGTGCCCCTTTGTTTGTTCGCTTCTGTACAATTCTGAAAGCAATTTGCCTGATTGCTGAACAAACGACTGACTACAACACTTCGAACCTGCAGAGTTTAAAACAAAACTACCAGGAAGTGTTGGATTGGTACCGGATCAAGTGCATTGGGAGAAGGATGGCATCTTGTTATGTAAAAGGGATGTTGGTTCTTCCTGGTGTTGGTGACTGGGTTAGCGATTGGGACAGGCATTATGAAAAATATAAGAAATACTATGAAGAGAGCACTTGGTTGTAAGTCATGTAATTACAGAAAATATTTCATTCTGTAGTTCTATATGCTTGCAGCCAATGGATCAAATATGCAGAGAACCTGGGTGGTGAAGGGTGGAGGCTGTGGTGCGGATGGACGACGTATTGCAACCTCATAGACACCTGGGACACTAGAGCCCATGACGAAGTACAATTTGAACCCTTGGAACTAAAAATCACCTCAGAAAGTAAGCAAATTCTGTAAACTTTATTGTCTTGAAGTGGACTGTAATATGCATTTGAATTAATTTAGCGTTGAAAGGAGAAGAAGGTTATCATAGAGATGTGCTAGCTGAATATCGAAAACGGGTTGAAGTGGTTATGTCGAAGTTCTTCGATGACGTTTCTCTCATTACTTGAGTGAAAACACAGTGGAATGTTTCTTCGTCCTGACGTGTTAGCCATGTATTTTTCTATATACTGTAGAATATTTGTACTTAAATATAAACTTTATATTAACTAGCAACATATGTTTTCTCTTGTATTCACACTTTGAACTGCCTAAATTATAAATTTTATAAACCTAATTATTATACAGTATATTCAATGAAATATAAAAAATTAAAAAGAAATTGTCATTTAATTTTATAATGAGATAAATATGATAATTTTTACCCGAATTTACGAAGTAAAAGTGTGGGTTAAAAGATTTTCTGAGTTATGTTGCCATCTGTGAACTTATAGCACCGGGCGTTTTGTGTGGTGGATCGGGTGCTGTCTGTAGTGTTTTCATTGGGGTCTTCGTGTGGACACAACTTAATATTTTTGAATTCATAGGTCTCCTCATCCGATACCGTGAATGAGACGGGTAAGACAGTGTGGCTGATCCTTGGCCTCAGCCATTGTCTCATAAGACATGTAATTAACAAAAGCATTGATGAAAGTAGATTTTCCCACACCAGACTCACCCAATAATAGCAGGGTTATTTAATTTTTAGTCATTGTTTTAAATGTAATTAAATGTAATATCAATTAAGTAATAATTTTAAAATTTTTTTTAAATATATTTAATTTTTAATTAATTATAACTTACAGTAAATAAATTTACTATTAGGTTTAAAAAGATATGTTTTGTTTTATAACAAAATAATTGTTTTGTTAGGGATAAATTTTAATCAATAAATTATTTATCTGTTAAGTTGCCAACTATCAAATATTAAATAGTTGAGTTATTTTTATTTTGTTAAAATTCTATGTTTCTACATATTTTAATGTTGTAAAAATTAATTACTAACTTTACTTGTTACTTTAATTTTAATTACACACTCGCAATAATTAGAAAATAATCTGAAATATATGAGAAAGATAAACTCTACAAGCAATTAAAATCTGACCAATAATAAATTACTTTGGGTTTGCATTATATACGAGAAGTTAATATATTACTGTATAATAAAATTAGTTGAAATTTATGATTATCAATCTATTTTATTTGGTATCATATATAAACAATTGAACCTTGAACAAACAGAATTGTAATTATAGATGAAAATAATTTTTTATATAACTATTTTTTTCTAATCAAGACCAAATAACACATATTTTTCAAATGGTATAAAACTAATACCTTATAGACTTAACCTAATATAATAAGTTTAAAAATATCACTTTTAAAATATTTGCTTAGATATGCCAAATAAACTTTGATTTATATAAAGTAGTTTGAAATAAAATGCTATTGATAAACTATTTAATATTATAATGTTGAGTTCCGTTTATGTTATAATTTTTATTTATATTTAACAACATAGTTTTATATAAAATTTTATGTTTTAATTAAGGATTGTTTATAGAAGTAATTATATTTATCAATTAATTAAATATAGTTTGATATTAAATGTATTTAAATTTCAATTAAATGTTGGTAAAATTTATGATTCAAAATAAATTTGGTTATATTTTGTGAGTTTGAGTGTAGTACATTATTGATTAATATTATCATATACTTAACAATAGATAAAACCGATACTTTTATTATATTTGTACATTTATAATATTAAAACGTTTTGTATAAAAGTATTTGAGTAAATAACTGAAAACATGTAATTTCTATAAATGACTATGAAACTATAATAATAAATATTATAAAAATACATTAATATTAAGATTTATTTTAAAAAGTACACATTAGTGTTCAAAACATTTGTCCAAAATTTCGGTAAGCTATTTTCTATTTAAATAAAAAATATAAATAAATTATCATGTAACAATGTTTATTTATATAATAATAGCAATATATAGAAATATAGATAGTATTTAAATATTTTAAAATAGGAAATGTCTACAAATGAGATCACAAACCTTGTAGTGGGTGAGTCAGGTGTACCAAGAAAGCCTCTTAGAAGCCCTGAGAAATGCCTTGTTAATAAACCAAAAGAGTTAAACCTGCTATTATTGGGTGAGTCGGGTGTGGAAAAGTCCACATTCATCAATGCATTCGTCAATTATATGACTTACGAGACTATGGATGAGGCCAGGGATGGGAAGATTAAATGTCTATTGAATGATGAATTCCAAATCATGGATCCGGATACTTATGAGGCAACTACTTTAACAATGCAAACCGATGTTATAAATCAACAACTAAGCGCACCATCTACATATCCCGTTTCTAAACAAACCAACGAATCACCAAGTATCACTGAGCAAACACTTTATCCAAAATGTTATACTTATTCAAATGATAAACTTGTGCTCAATTTTATTGTTACCCGGAGCATTGCTGATACTGGTGACAACGATACAGTTAACAAAAATAAACAGGATTTGTTAGATATTATGACTAATTATCGAGAAATTGCAGCCATTTTTGTACTCTTGAAAGCTAAGACTTCTGGGATTGACTATATTTTTACGAATTATTTACTAACGAAACAATTTAGTAAATATGTGCTCAATAATATAGTGTTTGTATTCCCTAATGCTCGTAATCCTGGCGAAACTGTATTAAAAATAAAAACTGTAATCAATCAACTCACAGAAAATAATCAGGGTCTCGAAATTATTTTTAATAAGAGCAACACCTATTGCTTTGATAGTCAGGAATTCCATTATCTCGTGGCTACTTTACCCCCGTTTAATATGGAGTTCAGTACAGAAGTGATACAAGATAATCAAACATCGTGGTCCAAGTACACTAAGCTACTAATGTTAATTATAAATATTTTTAAAAACATTTGTTAATTTTTATTTAAATACAGGTCAGTAATTGAATGCAAACGTTTGTTACAATATTTATGCGATCTAACACCTGTTGCAACAAATTTGAATAAGGAATCAATTACCCAGCTCCCAAAACCTCGAACTCAACTTATTAAACAAGATACAATTAAGAGACCATTTGATAAAATTGGTAAAACAATAACCATCCTATTATTGGGTGAGTCCGGTGTGGGAAAGTCTACTTTCATCAATGCATTCGTCAATTATATTACTTACGAGACAATGTACGAGGCTAAATCTAAACCAATATGCCTTATACCAGTTACATTCACAATTTCGGATAATGAGACATTTTTGCTCAAAACAGTAACATTAGGTACTCAGGATAAAAATGAAAATACCGAAGATAATACTAAATCATCGACCCAATATCCAAAATGTTATAAATTTGAAATGGGGAATGTCACGTTGAATATAATTGATACGCCAGGTATTGCCGATACAAAAGGGATCGAAAAGGACAACACAAATATGAGAAATATATTGGACTTTATATCCAATTATCCGGAAATTAATTCAATTTGTGTTCTCTTAAAGCCTAATAATGCTAAAGTTAGCGTGGTATTCAAATATTGTTTGTTTTAATTATTTAGTCACTTGAATAAATCAGCCGCAGATAACATACTGTTCTTGTTTACTAATGCCCAGTCCACACAATATGCTCCGGGAGATACCGGACCGGCATTACTATCTTTATTAAACCAGATCAGAAAGAGACCTCCAAATGTGGACATAAAGTACGGCAGGGAAACCATCTATTGCTTCGATAACGAGGCCTTTCGGTTCGCAGTGGCGTCGGCACCGCCTAATAACATGGTGTTTGACGACATGTTAAAACGAGACTACGAAATTAACTGGCAAAGGTATGACTTAAATTTTAGACAGTAGTTTAGCATTTTCAAAGTTTTATCTAATAGTTTATAGATATTTAAAATTTTATATACAATAACCATCTAGATCAGTCAAAGAATGCGATCGACTATTAGAGCGAATCATATCCATTCCGCCCCATAAGGTGATGGACACCCTATCCTTGAATAACTCCAAACAGAATATTCTGTTATTGACTAAACCATTGGCTGACATTGCTAAAAACATATCAGATAACGTCAAACAATGTGAGCGGCATAAGAAACGTATCCATGAATTCACTGGCGATATAAAAGCCCTCTTAGAAGAAATTTCTCGATACGGAAAGTTGGCCATGCTAGTTTAATTTGTATGAGCATAAACTTAATTATGTCATTATTAAATATGCATGGTCAAAAAGTGCGAATCCGGCCGATAAGTTGGTCATATTAAGATCAGTAAGTTGGCTGACATGGTCATTTTTGAATAGCACTTTATATGTCTACATTATAAGTAAACATTTACCGGAAAAGTTTGCCACACATTGAGTGCGCACTATACGGTTGAGAGCCGTCCAAACTTTTAGTACATACCGTCTATTCAAATAACGTTAATTCATACAAAAATGACCATG